AATTAAATACTGCAAAATACAATAATTGGACAGAATATCCGATTTGAATGAGCCTTTCTTTTTTGTTATCGTTTCACAAAGAAGTTTACAAACACCCAGTTACGTTTTAAAGAAAACACTTTCTTTATCCTAAATTAAAACTTTGACGTAAGTATTACTTCATTCGCCGATAATTTAAAGACGTATCTTTTATTATTATTTTTTTGGAAGATACTATGCCTGAGTTGTTTCTTTTCAATATACTTTGTCGAGAAGATCTGTTGTTTATAGGTCAATAGTTGAGTTCCGCTACATTAATTTGTTGAAAATAATTTCGTTTCTACAATCTCTTTTTTGCTTTCGTTTTAACCTTCTTTTAACTCTTAGCTTTGAGTTAGACAAATTTGAGCTACACTCATATTTTCACACATATGTATACATATATATTTACTCCCTATTTTTTCCTGGGCTCTTTATTCTACAACCAATTCAACCAGGCTTCTTCCGTTTACTTCATTATAGATATTCTACGTTAAATTCGCGAAATTTATTCTGTTATGAAAATGTTTATTTTACTTTATAGACGATTTTCATATCTTTAAATTTACCACATTATCTTTAGAATATAGTTGCTGGCTCTAAATCGTAATTTGTTTTTCCTGTTAACACTAAATGGAAATAAAAAAATGGGTGACGTCGTTCCTTATTTAACCTGAATAATTTAGTCGTTATATTCTGACGCTCTCCGATTGCTGGGATTACTGGGCTTACAACGCTAAAAATCTACTTTCGATACCTGCGGGTGGCAGAGCACTGCTTGTCCATTGTAGATTTGTGTTTTACAACAAGGAAATAAACCAGTCGATACACTAACACCTGAACTCTTCGTTATAAAATTTTTCTTTGTGCCCTCTGTTTCACACCGTCCAATCAGAACTGTGGGCATAACTGAATTTGTGTAGACCTTTTTTTTTTCCGGATGTGTATTTATAAAATGGGGGGGGGGGACATATTGTTGAAGCAATAAAATTTATAAAAAAAAAATTATAACACATGATCCTACAATATAAACATTTATCTAAGCCCATTACATGCTCCATAAACCTATTGTGAAAACTTTCCAAACATAGCGATAGTTCTTTCTCCGTTTTTTCGGTGATTTCCACCCACGTTTCATAGCGACACCCACCATTTCCGCTTTGACAATTTTTAGGTTTTATACCTTTCAATCGGGACAGTATGTGCGAATTTGTGTCCATTCGTCTTCCTTCTTCCGTACGTTTATTTATAAAATGGAGGAATGCATTGTCGAAACGATAAAATAAATCACAAAAAGAACATTTGTCAAACATATGTGTATAATGTAAACATTTAGCTAAGTTCATTACATTCTCCACTTAATCTTTTGTGAACAAATTATAAGCATAGCGATAACTCCTTCTTCATTTTCTTTGCGAAGCTACTTACAATTCATAGCGACACCTAGCATTTCCGGTTTGGGTAATTTTAACGTAAAATGCATACAGGTGCTAATGAAGCAATCAGAGAGCAGCAGAATATAACAATTGTATTATTACGACTATGCCTTATCTTCCTCACAAGGACGGGAGTGTTATGTCTGTGACGTAGCAATTCGTCATAAAAGAAAAAGAACCCTGACGCTGTCAGGTGCTATAAGACTCATGTGTGTGTGTGCAATACTTCAATATTTCAAGCCAGTCCAAGCTCCAGTTTTTCGTAACTGGGAAGAAGCGCAATGAGACATATAATGTGGTTAAATCTAAAATGAAATTAATTAGCTCGTGTTGGGGGGGCAACGACATTTTATGGGGCCTGACTCCCTATTACCCCTCGCTAGCACCAGCCCTTTCAAAGATTGCTACACAATAAACAGTACGAGTCACCAAAGATTCAAATGACCAAAAAAGTAAAATATTTACCAATAACATCACTTTAACTATTGGTTGACAATCTTCTATATGTAACATAAAAAGTTGGCATTACATTTTATTGTTATTATAAAAAGCCCTTCGAATATAAGAGCTACATTTTCTGTTACGAAAAGGACTGATTTCTACTAAGCAAGGTTAAGCAATCATCTGGTATACTTAATTACTAAGATTATCATCATTATTTCCAATATTTAGTGACTGAAACATGGTTGACACCAACCCCATAAAACACGTTTCTTTGGGAGGAAAGAGGGAGCTCTTAGATTTTAAATGGATTCATAAAATTTCGAAATATTTCCATTAAATAATGCATTAGTTGGATACTTTTATACCATCAACAGCTTTACGACATATGATAATTTTAAAATGTTAGTGCTACTAAATAACTTAGAAAGGCTTTTCTGAATTGACGACGATCCAGTTAGTGTTATTTCCTCTGCATTACAACGTTAGTATGGAGGCTCTTTAACAGATAAAGAATATTGAATGATATGATTATGAAAATAGCTTTAAACTCCTTACAATCATCTGGTAGTTTACGGAGATATATTAGTTAATTAATTACTGTTCAGATGGTGTGTTCAAATTATTCCAGTTTCTTAGGAGCGGACTTTTAATGATTTGTGAATAATTAGTCTACAGTCTATACCTAAGAAACGATACTCGTATACAGTCTTTTAAGTTTTCAACAAACTTTAGTTCATTATATATTTTGTATTATTTTAAAATTGTATACAGATTTTACGTTTTACATTGTCAGCATTCGCTACGATATTTAATAATTTCATTTGAAGACGTCAGAGAGAAACACAGACAGTTATACCATGAACTACATTTTAGTGAACAGCATTATATTTCTTTGACTTTAATTTTTGTTTCAGTAATTATGGCTTTTTCTTGATCGATTTTATTTATCTTTGTATTTTCTAACCTCAAAATAAATAAATAAATAAATAATTTTTTTTAATAATGTGTTAACTAGTTGTTTTAAATATTTTACACTGCTTCTCAACTTTCAGTAATTAATGTTTTTTTATTCATATAAACATGAAACGATGACACTATTAGGGCCATAAGACTTGTGGTGAACGTTGATAAAATAGAAATATGCTATGCTAAAGTACAAAATATTTGGGCATTATTACTCTGTAGTCAGTTGATAAAATATGTTTAGACACTATCGCTCATGACTCATAGATATTTAAGTTCATTTGAATAACAATTATTTTTTAGTTAGGCGGTTAAATATTTTAAAAAATATCATTAATGACTTAAATTTTTCAGATAACTTGGATATCAATTACTCTGCAGCCAGGTGGTAAACTATTGTTAAACATTGTCATTAATGACTTACATCTTTCAGATAACTTGGGTAATAATTAGTAATTACTACCCAAGTTATCTGAAAGATGTAAAGTCATTAATGACAATGTTTAACAATAGTTTACCACCTGGCTGCAGAGTAATTGATATCCAAGTTATCTGAAAAATTTAAGTCATTAATGGCAATGTTTAACAATATTTACAACCTGATTGCAGAGTATTTACTACTCACGTTATCTGAAAAATGTAAGTAATTAATGACAGTGTTTAACAATATTTACAACCTGATTGCAGAGTATTTACTACTCACGTTATCTAAAAAATGTAAGTCATTAATGACAGCGTTTAACAATAGTTTACCACCTGGCTGCAGAGTTTGCAGCCAGGCGGTAAACTATTGTTAAAAATTGCCATTAATGACTTTAATTTTTCAGATAACTTGAGTAGTAAATACTCTGCAATCAGGTGGTAAACTGTTGTTAAACATTGCCATTAATGACTTACATTTTGCAGATAACTTGAGTAGTAAATACTCTGCAATCAGGTGGTAAACTATTGTTAAACATTGTCATTAATGACTTACACCTTTCTGATGAGTTGGGTAGTAATTACTCTGCAGCCAGGTGGTAAACTATTGTTAAACGCTGTCATTAATGACTTACACCTTTCAGATAACTTGGGTAATAATTACTCTGCAGTCAGGTGGTAAACTATTGTTAAATACTGTCACTAATGACTGATATATGCTTAAGTTAATTTGGGTTGTAATAACTCTGCGGTCAGGTGGTGAAATATTGTTAGGTACTATCATTCATGAATCATATTCTTAAGTTCCTTTAAATAATTAATATAATATGACTGATTGTCATATTTCTTACAAAAATATATAAGACGTTAATTCCAGTAGAGACTGTTTTTTTTTCTCTGCAACTCACATTTATACCTGATCACTAACCACATCAGTAAAGAAACTTTTGAATAAGGTGCCATGTTTGGTAATTAACCGACAGCAATATCCCCCTAAAAAAAGTAAAAGTTCGTTTGGCTCCTACATTAAATATAATACAAACACTCGACTCGCTTACCAAAATAATTTCTCATTCTTTCTTTGAGCTTAAATAATGTATCAGAAAACAATGATATGTTTTCAGTACAATAAAATAGGTTTTGTTCAAGCAACAAAATATAATATAACGATTTCATTCATATCAAAATATATTTATACTACTGTACATTAAAAAAAATGGGGGAAGTACTTTATATTTGACACTGTTTGCTACTTATATCAAGCTAAGTACTACAACACTTCAATTTTTTCATGTGTTCGTAGAAAAATGATTTTATACTAACAAAATTTCATCTCACGTATCACATTATCTTTCTTGAATTAGCTTAAAAAACACAAAAATATAGTTCTACTTAGCACATATCTATGTACAAGGCAATAAAGGCTCCATTAGAAAACTAACTACCTGCAAGTTAAGATATAAGGCAATCAATGGACTAAACATTTATATCAGAGTATAATATGCATTAGGAACAAGGTTTATAATATTAATTTTCCAATTTCATCTCTGTTTAAGTTTAAAGTAAAGACAATTGTTGCTCTAACAACCTCCAACAGTAAGCTTAAAATAAATACATAAAACGTCTGATCGAAACGAGCGAAAAACATAACATCAAGCTGTACTACGCCACGCGTAGCCTGAAGCATGCCTTTCTCCCTTACTTGTCCAATTAAACTTTTCATATCAAGGAGTAGAAATGCTTCAGCAAATCTTCGGGAAGGTGATAAAAGGTTTGACTGGCACCGAAGGACTGCCGAAAAAGCAGCAAATCCTCCACAGTGAGAAGGTCACCTCTGTCGGAATGGATCATCAAAGAGCTGTTAGGGACTTGGAAAACGAGTCGCTGGACTTCCGGAATGGAATACTTGAGATGGGCTCCTTCCATCGGAAACATGAGGGGTTGAATAAGACTGTACTCCTTTACCAGAGCGACTAATCTATCTATCATTTCCAGAGAATATCTGTTCACAATAGAGAAGAGAAAGGAGTTCTATAAGATTTAGTAGAAACGTAATTATTTTGATTACACAGAATGTCTACAACAACTGGAGTTGGAACCGCTCCGATATTAATATACAACGTTTACAGAAATGTACGTGTACGTTAAAGGAAAACTCTCAAAATCGCCATGCAGTAGCTCTAGCTTTACGAATCATGTTAAATTAATTACAGACTAAAACACAAAAAACAACAAAACAAATCCTTATGCTGGATTCCATCAAAAACTCAAACTGTCTAGGTTTCAGTCTGTAAAACTTAAAATATATGATACAAAGTACCATAAGCTTTCTCAAAAATACACCTTATAGATTCAAATACATTTTCAAGTGGTATATTATAAACACAGGGCACAAAAAACGCAGTCCTATTGTTTACTCAGTAATATGTTAATAAAGCGACCAGGAATAACCATCTTATACACGATAACCCTAGCATCACAGTTCTTCTTATACAATTTACCAGACCAAATCATTGCGATTGTTGTAAACAGGTGTTAAGACCTGGCATGGACTAGTGGTAAGGTGCTAGACTCGCAATCTGCGGTTCGTGGGGTCGTTATTATGTAATGGTAAATTCTACTATTCGATTATAGTCGTCTAATAACACACGCCTGCGATGGTTTCATTGACTTGAAATTTTTACATATTCTACGATAATTCTTGAACGATGAATCCAAAAATGATATCCATGTTTCTCTATCGTGTACAGGTTTTTCACAAAACGTCATAACGCAATAAATAGAAGAAAGACCACAACACGTAGTTTTGAAACTAAAAGACGTAGATTTCACACACAAAAAAATTCAGGATGAATGAGGATGCATATTCGTTTGACATCAATGTTCTTCCCTTTTCTTGAGTGTTTTTGTATTTTTGTTAACAAACATAATAATAAAAAATGTTCATTGTGGTAAACGAAATAATAATTTGATCTAAGTAAGAGTTTTTTTCTTCCCAATTTGTAAAAAAATCCTTATGTGATAGAAAAAAAAATAATATTACTTTCGAAATCTGCCTAGATGAATAATGGAAAATCTGTTACTAAACCCAAAACAACTTTTATGAAATTTAAATTCGCGGGCCTGTGTAATTGGCGGTGAGTGAGTATTCACTAGACCTGCTAAAATGATTAGTTTTTTTTAACTCTTCGCATTGTCCCTAAGGCTGCTAATCTAAAGTCTAACCCAGAAACTAAGTCGGTAACTTTTATTATCTGATAAGTATTTCCTTAAGAATGAACTACAAACGTCTGTATAAAGTGAAACATGTTGCGTGCGTCGAAACGTGCATTACGAACCTTTACGTTTCTTGTCCCCATTCATTCTAAAATGGCTATTTTCAGCTTCCACCACTTCACATATTGGTAGAGTTAAGGATATTTTATTTCTGAGGCATTACACAGTAGTTATGATGTAGAATCACCACAGCCAAAACTGATTGATACCTAGAATTCATACAGCAAAGTGCTACAGAGTCTTATGAAGTGCCACTAAAACCGTGGATAATAGTCTGTGCGAGGGCTAGTTTATTAACACGCCCGGACTGTGAATTCAAGAGTTCACGGTTCTCGGCCTGTTGCCATAAAAACGCGCTCCGCACTTTGGGGCATTAGGTGCACTATAAAAGAATCGCCCAACTCCTAATGTTCGAATAGAAAAGAGAAGCCAAAGAGTAGGCGATGGGTGCTGTTGACTAGCTGCCTTTCGTCTGGTCTATGGGTTAAATACGGGGACGACCATGCACAGCTAGGCTTTGTACGTTTTACATGAAACATTAAAAATAAAGCTGCGGATAATACATTCTGTTAAAAAAGAAAACTTGAAAAATAATAAAACACATCCAACGACATACAATTTAAAATGGATAAATTGTGTGGTTGTAATATTATTCGAGCTGCTATTTCAGGCTCAGTACTTAGCAGAATACTGGAATCAACCAAAAATAATAATGATGCCGGTTTTTAAGTTACTTAGAAGAGTCTCATTCGTATCGGTAAGTTCCAGTTATTTTTATTTTTTTTCTAAGACCCTTAGCCCATTACCGTAAAAATGCGCTCCGCATTGAGGAAACATAAATGCGCTATAACAGTGGCGGTCTAAGCGCACTATTTTCTTAAACAAGAGTAACTGGCAGTGGGTGCTGTTGAATAGGTGCTTTCCTTCTAGTCTATCATGTAATTATATGAAATAAATATATATATATTTGTATGATGTAAATATTTATAATTATATGAATAAATAAATATATATATATATAATTATATGATGTAAACATGTATAATTATATAATATAAACATCTAGTGATGCAAACACGTGTAATTATATGATGTGAACATATATAATTATATAATATAAACATCTAGTGATACAAACACGTGTAATTATATGATGTGAACATATATAATTATATAATATAAACATCTAGTGATGCAAACACGTGTAATTATATGATGTGAACATATATAATTATATGATATAAACATGCATAATTATATAATATAAACATGTATAATTATATAATGTAAACGTGTACAATTATATGATGTAAAATGTATAATTACATGATATGAACATGTATACTTATATGATGTAAACCGGAAACTTTAAGTATAGTTTATTTAAGTTTAGAAGATTGTATTAGAGAGAATTGTTATAAGGCTAAACTATCTGGCTGAAAGCTAAAAAATACGAGCCGTAAAAATCCTTATATCGTGTACAAACACCTAATATTTGTAGTACAAGTGTCGGGCTTGGCATGGCCTGGTGGGTAGGACGCTCGACTCATAATCTGAGGGTCGCGAGTTCCAATCCCAGTGGTCAAACATGCTCGTTAACTACTGGACTAGCCACTCCGAGTGTAAAAATCCTTATATCGTGTACAAACACCTAATCCTTGTAGTACAAGTGTCGGGCTTGGCATGGCCTGGTGGGTAGGACGCTCTACTCACAATCTGAAGGTCGCGAGTTCCAATCCCCGTGGTCGAACATGCTCGTTACCTACTGGACTAGCCACTCCGAGTGTAAAAATTCTTGGCTTACAAAATACCTACCGACCCCAATTTGGTTGGGATTAAGGTCGTAAAGAAAAGGCAAAAAAAAAGTACGAGTTTATCATTCAAGTTTTGCACTTTTCTGAAAACATAGAGATATAAAGTAATGATATTAAAAACAAAAACGGTTGGACATGGTTGGATTTCTAATCTATAACTCACCCAGGTTTACTGCAGATGTCCTCCTGTACTTCCACAACTTCTGGATACATCGTCCAGCTGATAGAGATAGTGGAGTGAGGAAATCGTGTCCGACAGAGGGTAAGGAACGTCCAAGCGTCCACCGGAGGAGTCAGGGCACTGCTCGGACCAGGCAAAATCTCGGCATTCAGGATTATAGGTCCTCTTAACTAAAACAAATAAAATATCGTACGTTAAGCACATAGGCATTCGTTTAGATTTATTGGTTTAGTTATTTATTGGTCAGAAACAAACAAGTTGATACATATTGATTTGAATACGAAGAGCCTTTTAAAGTTAATTTGTGAAGGACTGTATAATTCTCTTTGTATAGCAACTACTGGGCCCGGCATGGCCTGGTGGATAAGGCGCTCGACTCGCAATCTGAGGGTCGCGGGTTCGAACCACCAAACATGCTCGTCCTTTCAAAGAGGGAAGGCTGTCAAGTGGGTTGCATCCTTGACGTAAGAAACAGCCATCGGCTCAACGGTCCGCACGGACTATGGGGGAAAAAAAAGCAACTATTGCGATACAGATTGTAACAGTTAACTAATAAGGACGCATAGAAGCTCTAGCTATTATGGACCTATCATTACTCCCATTACAAATTAATGAGCGATAAGGTTGGTTGTTTGTAGTTAAGCACAAAGCTACACAATGGGCTAGCTGTGCACTGCCCATCACGAGTATCGAAACCCGGTTTTTAGCAGTGTAAGTCCGACAAGGTAACGACGTTATTAGTATTAACACAGAAACATCCACTGAAATCTGCACCGTTGTTTCGAGCTAGTTTTTTTTGTTTGTTGAATTTCGCGCTAAGCAATTCGAAGACTATCTGCGCTAACTGTCCCTAATTTAGAAGTTATAGACTAGAAGGCAAACAGCTAGTACGCCACCTACTGCCAATTCTTGCGCTACTCTAATCGAATAATTTGATTAATTGTCTTCACATTATTACTCCTCCACTGTTGAAAGTGCGAACATGTTCAGTGATAGGATTCCAGCCCGCGACCAGCAGATTGCAAGTCGTGCGCCCTAACTACCAGACGTTTCGTGCCAGAGAAAGCTACCCTAGTTTAACTATATCTTTAGTGGTTTAATCTATTTGGAATTCGTTAGCGTCTTCTTTGAACAAAAGTTTAATGGAGTTGTCTTATAGTCTTGAAATCGATAGATAAAATATCCTTGCAAATGAATAGCTGCGTAATGTCTAAGTAATACAGAAGATAAAATATTTTGCAACTGAATAACTCTGTAGCATTTAAACAATACACAAGATATGATATCATCGTAACTGCATATTCACTCACAAAGTTTCCAAGAGTTTCAAAAATGAACCAAATTCATTATGTGAAGACTGTATAATTTTTAAAAATAAAGGCCACACTGCTACTGGGTAGCCAATCAAATTACGTGAAAAATATACATTAACGTTTGAATATCTATACCTAATTCACCATGGGCAAGTTCAAGACTTTATCAAAAAAAAATATCACGTAGCTTTTATTAAAATTTGTGCATACTCATAACAACAATTTCTTTAGTCTTTTATTTGCCATTTAATGTATACTTAAGTTGAAGCACAGTGAAGCGTTACAGAAATTATTATAATGTTTCTTACAGTATATTTCAGTAAACACAGCAAGCTTCTAAAGTATCTGATTCATTCATTACCTGATCAGCAACACGTGCCAATACTCTACAAGCAGGTTCAACAACTTCGGTCGAACGGAAATTCAATTTAATTCCTTTGTTGTTGAGACGCATAACATCTTCTAGCCACTCCTCCAAAGTAAGATCATTGTTGTTAGATGACTGACCCATTACAGGGACGGGAAAACGGCTGTTGCCAGACATACAGACGTCAGCTTCTAAAATCATCACGTAAGCTGAAAGAGCAAAGTTGAAAGTTTAAAAATCAGTTGAAACATTGGTAGATAAAGCGATGATTGTTTTTTATTCATGAACTCAAACAAGACGAGAAAAGAAAACACATTAGAACTTAATATCTAAAAATATCATATCTTCAATCTTTCATCTTCAGTAATAAGAGTAATAAGTAGGAGTAGTTGAAACATTTTTTTTTCTTATTATTATACGTCAGTATGATGTAAAATGTGGAATTAAAAACAGACATATCAGCATTCAACATAACTTTAAACTTGTTCTAATCATTTAACTGTTTTACTTTTATGGGATATACACTTTACTGGTGTTATTTTCGGTTTGCAAAAATCCTAAATTCAGAGGCAGATTTGTCCAGTTTAAAAAAATAATGTTTAAATTTCATGCCATAAACTCTGGAATTTAAATTTCTTTCACGTATTGAAAAGTAATGTCAGCCAGAAGTTCTACGAAAGTGCCTTCAAACAAGAAAAGCGAATATCAAGAAATCTCTCCCATCATCATCTGTGTCTTTACACAGTTATTAGCATTTAACATTTTTACTTTGTTTAAACGCAAGTGGGATCACATTAATTGATCATATTTATGGAGAGATTTCTTAAAATATGTTAAAAATAAAAGTTGTGATTTTCAAGTTGATATGACTTTAATGAGATTTGATTCGACTATATATAGCAGAGCAAATATTTCCATGCAAACCATTACGAATAAATATATTTAAAATTATCATTTCTCAAAGCTTTGGTAAACTCTACAAACTCAAATTAATAATGGAAATTGAATATAGTTCAGGTGGACCGTGATACCAATAAAAAGTTAAAGATCTTCCGAGTAACCACTGGAGATGACCAGCTCTTGGTACTTTTAAACCAGGATGGCCACCAGAAGTTTTTCGGCTGCCTAACAACACGCGCCTTGGCAGAAAAATTAACGGCCAGGAGCAAGTCACACTGTTGGTGGCGACCGGAGATTCAAGAAGGATCTGTGAAGATAGAGTTTATAGCTGCCGAAATTAGGAGGGCGTGAGGAGGGAAGCATCACGACTTTCTGAAGGATGTTAAGCACAAACATTTAACACCTGCCACACGAGCCAGTCCAGCATCTTGATGGGGATACTAAAAAAAAAAAGTGTCATTCCGGAAAGATTTGGGTTGTTTTGATTAAACAAAAAGAAGACGTTTGGCACCATTTTCGAGGTCTAGGTCGCTGGACCAGACCCCAGACCTGACCAGAGACCATGAGAGACAACATGAAGAAGTTAACTTGTAAATGTAAATTAAAACGATGTAGCAATGAAACATGCTTGAAATATTCTAGATGTGGTTGTGCATGTGATAGTTTAAGCTAAACCGTGGGTCAAGGTCAGATGAGGGAAGAACTTATTCGTAGATATCCCAATAGACTTGACATACCAGCTGAATCTTCAATAAATTACTGCATTCACAGCAAAACATAAAACAACTGGCACAATAGTGTCGTTATCTTCAAAAAGGGAGATTAGAATCATATATAAGAAATCATTAGTTTCAATACTGTGTGAAACTAACGGCACAGTAAATTGAATACTGTGTGAAACTAACGGCACAGTAAATTGAATACTGTGTGAAAGAAACGGCACAGTAAATTCAATACTGTGTGAAACTAACGGCACAGTAAATTCAATACTGTGTGAAACTAACGGCACAGTAAATTCAATCCTGTGTGAAACTAACGGCACAGTAAATTCAATATTGTGTGAAACTAACGGCACAGTAAATTCAATAATGTGTGAAACTAACGGCACAGTAAATTCAATATTGTGTGAAACTAACGGCACAGTAAATTCAATCCTGTGTGAAACTAACGGCACAGTAAAGCCAATATTGTGTGAAACTAACGGCACAGTAAATTCAATCCTGTGTGAAACTAACGGC